GCTTCCGAGGGGTTAATTGCTGGCACATGAAATGACAGCTCCAAAGAACAAGGAGTTTTCTTTTACCATAAATTCTCTTTCCAGAAGATCATTCCCTGCTGTTCTAGGAGAAGGTGCAAGCTCAGATGATCAAGTTCAAGAGGTATTTAACAGCAATAGAAGGGTACAAAAGGCTGGCATTTCTATCCCAACTGGTAGCACTACAAAATGAGTAGAGATTGCAAAGGAGCCCTCCAGACTCAGCTGGAGACTGTTTTTTGAGGATCATACTTTACAGATCTTATTCAGAATCTCAATTAAAATAACTCTGTAGCTCTGTATTCTAAATTCAGATGTGCAGCAAGAACAATGGACAAAGTATCTAAAAGAGTTTCTTCTCCTACTAGGAAAATGCCCAGTTACAGTTCTAGGAAAAAGTATTTGCCTGGGATTTCATGTGAGTCTTACTGATATATAAAGGGAATCTGAGTGAACAAATTACATCAAAGTTTGATACTTGTTTTCTTAATTTCATAAACAAAGTCAGCTAATATGTGATGTGAAGTGTGTAAAAGCAATTAGATTCAGTAAATGTTTGTTCCACCTTTAGAGTCAATAACTGCAACCAAATACTTTCTGTATTTGGTGAGCAGCAGCTCACATTGCTGTGTAGAAATGTGGGGAATTGCTTCAACTCAGTAACATTTGTGGGTTTTCTAACATGAACTGCAGCAGTTCTCTGGGAATTAGGTCTGGACTTAGCATTCCAAAACATAGGATTTTGGCTTCTTCATCTGTTCCCTAGTAGACATGATTCTATGTTTGGGATCTCTGTCTTGCTATGATACACACTTATGCTTCAACTTCAGCTGATCATCTGATATTCTTCCACAGAATTTATGCTTCTTTCAATAATGGCATGTTGATGAGGCAGCAAAACATTATTCTCATTATCATTATTATAATATCCCATCTTTATTTTGTACAACTCAAGATAGCATCCATAATGTTCTCATCTCGTATTTTCTCTACAACAACCACCCTGTGAGGTGGCATAGCTGAGAGTGAGTGACTGGCCCAAAGTCACCCAGCTGTCTTTCATCTTGAAATCATGACATTACACCTCCTTACTTGACAGCTGGAAAATGCAGTGTTATGATTTCTGTAACAATACCCACATAGCCTAAAAAGTTTCACTTCTGACTTATCTGTCCATACAATATTCCTCCAGCTGTCAGGAGACTCCAAGCACTTTTTGGCAAACTTAAAATGTTATTCTGGGTTTCTTTGTGACATCTTGGATGATTTTATGCTGTGCTCTCAGAATAAATATGACATGATGACAGATTCACTCTATCCCAAAGCTTCTTTCAGCCCTAAGTTTCTGACTGTGAACTGGCAGATCCCCAGTTTTAGAAATTATTTTGTAACCTTTTCCAAACTGATAGGCATCGATGTCTTTATTACAAAGGTCTTTAAAAATCTGAATGGGGCATGACTTGCCTCTAAAATCTGTGTAGTGAGAACTTCACTATGATGAAGGGACCCAAAGTTTATCAGAATTATAGAGAGTAGGGTGGTCCATATCAACTCTAATTGGTTGATTGTTTAATGAAGTACTTAGACAATTGGGCCTAATTATTCCTTTAACTGGATTGACTAAACTAAGGGAGTGATTATTTTTTCATACTGATACATTGCATGCTTGATAACTTTGTTTATTGAAAAGACAGGCAATTTAATAACAAAAACAAAAGGAGACAAATGCTGTTTCACAGAACTCTAGATCAGCAGGACAGATCCTTCTGAAGATGCTTCTACTGCCAAAAACTTGGCTGTCTGGTATTTAAGACGGGGCTTCCTCTGATTTGATTCCCAGGCTATTGAATGCTTTCCCCAGGGAAATGCATTCGGTTCCCACTCTCTCAATAGTTGGAAAATAGTAAAATACATCTTTCATCAAGCATTTAACCATTAGAATGGATTTTTCTGTTTTGAGTTCATTTCTGATTGAAATCCTATTGATTTTATTGTTGCGTCTTATATGTTTCATTTTATTATAGTAAGCCTCTTTGACTCTTTACACAAGGAGAAAGATACAGCATATATGTAATCATAATCATCTGCTCTTACACACTGAGGAAATAACTTTATTACGCCAACTCACAGACCATATAATAAGGTAAAAAGGGTAAAAAGGTGGATGGGTGGCCTAAACAAAGGTTAAAACGTGAGGGAATAGCAGTGAAATCATGGAGTCTGCAAACATAGATGAGGGTTGCAGAAGGCTGTGCTACAATGGCACTAAGGACTCTGCAAAGTATTGAACAAACAATAGCTGATCCCAGTCTGCTTAGATATCAAATAAACGAATACTTTACTTTACAAATGCTTTACAATACTTTAGACTGTATTCTAAACAGGAGATGAAGGAGGATATAACAGGAATACTGAATACCATGGAAAATATCTGTCTACTCTGGGAGGAGATATAGTTTTGAGTTAAGAAGACATCTAGCTGCAGATTTATTTATCTTCCTGGACTCAAAAATTCACAGGGATGATAACTATAGTCATGAAATAAATGGAGAGCTGTTACCTGGGAAAAACATTATGACTGATCTAGATAAAATATTAAAGTGAAGAAACACATTAACAACAGAGGGACATACTATCAAGGTCATGGTTTTTCAGTTATATTATATAGCTGTGAAACTGGACCATCAGAAAGGATGAACAAAGAAAAATTAATGTATTTGAATTGTGGTGTTGGAGAAAATTGTGGAGAAGACCTTGGACTAGAAAATGAACAAATAATTCAATATTAGATGTAGTAAAACCAGGCTGCTTACTGAAAGCACTTATAAAGAAGCTAAAGCTTAAATATTTTGGAGACATAATGTGAAGGCAATAGTCACTAGATAGGAACCCATCACTCAGAGAAATGGCAGGCAATTGAAAAAGATTGGCAGAAGACAAAGAGACATATATCATAGATGACCCAAGCATAAGCTTATAAAAACTTAAAGAAGCAGTCACTGATACACAATCCTAGCAAAAGTATGCCCACTGTATCACAAAGAATCATAAAAGACTGAATGATCAAACAATAACAAGCTGCAGATATTTACTGGTAATATGAAAATATGAAGACAGATTTATCTGCCAAATTTTTGCCCACCATAATCAATGAAGACTCTCAGATCAATTATCTGAGATACATGAGAGACTAAGCAAACAAACAGGCTATCTAGGTAGACTGAAATTAGTATAGTCTTTATTTCCAATCAGGGACTTAGTCATGATTGGAATGGCAATATAAACTTCTATTTTTAGTGACTAGCTCAATTCCAGACCAAGAATATACAAGATCAGAAGCATGTTCAATCATAACATTGTTTACAGTAAACAATGCTGGCTGAGGAATTCTGGGATTTGAAGTCCACACATCTTAAAGTTGCCAAGGTTGAGAAACACTGTCTTATGCAATCACTAGTTTATAGGGTTGCTGAGGTACTGAGTAGGTGTCCTCCAAAGTACCTTGCACTTAATATATTACAAAAATGGGGATTACATACATAGAGAAGAATATCTGCAAGAAAGAGTGAAAAATTGCAAAATCTATATTAAATTAGTAACTTTATTAGGCTAATATGGTGATAAAAACTATAAAAATTGCTGAGATCCAAACAATACTATCATGAAAGGCAAATAAAACAAAATTCCATACACATGAATACTTTTTCCCTCTCCCTCCTCATTTTCCTTCTTTTCTGTTTCTTTATCTATCACTCAACAGCAGCATTTAGATGATCCTGGATTTTTTTTTAAAAAAAGAAGCTGGGTCAGACCTACTTAGATGAGAGATCAGCAGGAAATCCAGGGCTGTAGGTCAGACCAGAAGTTTCAAAAATATTGGAAGAAGACAATGAGAAAGCACTTCCATATTGTTCACAAGAAAGACTCCATGTAGTCACCAGGAGTCACTTGAATTACAGGAAAATTGATTGCTTTATTGCTTTGTCAATTTGCTTTAATTTATTGACCTACAGTAGGAGGGCCTTTGCACAAATCCATCTTAAGCACCAACTGCACCAATTCCTGGATCTGGAAGCTTTGCTTGCTGCCACTCATGCCTTAGCCACCTCTTATTTGGATTACTGCAATACACTGCACTGCATGGAGTGAAGACTATTTAGAAGCTACACCTGGTCCAGAATACAGCAGTATGAGTAGTTTTGGGCACACTTCAACATGCCCATTTGATCTATTTTTTTAGCTGCACTGGTTACCAGTGAGTTTCTATGTGCAATTCAACGTGCTAGTGTTCTTCTATAAAGCTGTTGCTGTTGCTACATCTACCCTTTGGAATCTCCCACTACCACCACCACATATTCCCAACCCAGTGCTGTCCTTTAGTCAGGTCTTCAAGATGTGGCTTTTCCCACAGGCCCTGAGCTTGGATGATATGGGAACTCACTAAATTTCTGTTCTAGGCATCTGTCTCCTCCTGGCACAGTTGTTTTTATTGTTGTGGTTCTTTTCTTTCTATTCTGATCTTTTTAATCCTTTTGTAAGCCTCTCAGAGTAGCTTGGTAAGTGGGCAGCCTTATAAACTGAAGGAATGTAGGAAGGAAGCAACAAATAAATAAATATTCATTCAGTGTAAATTACATATTTTAATGCCCAAATTTCTATATTTACTGAAACAACTAACAAAAAACCACAACTCTTTTTGACTGATATTTTGATTTTGACAGCTGAACAGATTCCCAGTATTCTGCTTACTTAATTTGTCATCCAAATGACAAACAGCTTGAAAAGTCAGAGAGGGCAGCAGTGGGTACAATTTGTCTTCCATGTATTAAAAAGGCCAAATTAATCAGTACTATAGATTCTAATTTTGAGGAAAATGTATTCAACCTGCTCTCTTTATAAAATATACAAGGCATTTCAAAAAAAAATAAACAGCAGACAAAAGATATAATAATTAGTTCGTTGTGTTGGAATAAAGAACTTACTCAAAATCTTCAAATTCCAAATCATTTCCTTCTACAGATGGACCTGCATTCTCAGAAGTGGAAGCAGAAGATGAGGAAGAGCGGAGGCGATTTTGCTGATACCGCATGGAGCGCTGGCGAATGCTATCTCTGCGTGAAAGATACTGGATCATTCTCTGGGCATAATAAGCAGCAGGTGACAACCTGAAAAATTAAAATACTGCTGTTAGCTCAAAAACAAATCTCACTTGCTTCTTGATGTAGTAGGATTATACTATTACCACCTAAATCTATGTCTGAAATAGAGGACTTGCTCTAGTTTCTGAACTTGGATTTGATTATGAGCTAGAGGTTTCTGCTTGAACACCTTTATCTAAAATCCTTTGTGTTTTATTTTGTTTATGCAGTCTCAAATTCAGTGGAGAGGCCAAAAAAATTCTATCAGAGTAATAGGAAGGCTGATTAACATTATTCCATGTTATCAAGGTTTAATGAAGTATTTAAAAAGCAAGCTGAATTTCTATATGTAAAATGTTTTTGTTGTATCCCTTTTTTAATTTTTTGTCTTTGTGTTTTTTCTCTTTTCTCTCTCTTTCCCTGTCTCTCTCCTTTGAAGCAATAAAATAAGGGCAGGGGGGAAGAGCTGCTACATTTTACTACTATATCCAATTAAGGGCATTTTTTTTTTTTTTTACAAAAATACGTTATGCTAGAACAATGTCATATTCTTCCCTGAGTTTGAAATGAAATATCTACCTCAAAAGAAAGCATTTTTTTTGTCCATGTCCTGCACTTGACCTCTGAATGGCACACAAGGGCATATTCCAGAAAATGGTATAGGCCAAGACAAAATAGTAGACAGGGGTAAGGACAAACTGATATGAGATGTTAAAGTAGAATATGTGTGCCTTTCTCCAAGATTATTTTAGGAAATAAGCTCACACCCATAGGGTTCAAATATTATTTACCAGCTTCTGGCATTAGACTGATATTGTGATTTCTTAAATGTAATTCTTTTTGGAAATGAGGTGGGTTAGATCAGTTCTTTTCAGGAAAGCTTTCCATTGTTCTAAGTCCTGGCCCAAATCACCTCAATGAACTTCTTTGGCTCATGGTAGTCTAGAAACTGGATTTCCCTGCTCCTAGCCCAATACCTTAACCACTATATCACTCTCTCTGCCCACAGCCTAGTGGAAAGTTTTTTCCATCTCTATCATGGGGGCCCCACTATGGATGCTAAGTCACCCAGGATGACCAGTCACAGCCCACTTCTAAGATTAGTTCAGCCAGGGAAATAGCCAGGGAACATAGTAAACCATCCTGTCCTATTTCTGTCCTATCTTGCTGGCCAACATCAAGTACATGCCATCAAAACTGGTACCAGAGTATGGTTCTATGTCCTCTCAGAATGATATAAGATTAAAACAAGGGGCATCTTAAATAATAACACACATTATAGAAACAATGGCATTCTTCTAACCAACTTTTATAAGATAAAATTTAAATGTCAATACTTTTTAATCAAAACTCCATAATTTGAGCAGATTGGCTAACCTTGAATTACTGTAATGCTCTCTACACAGGGCTGCCCTTGAAAAGCATTCAGAATTAATTGCAATTGATCCAGAATGCAGCAATACAAGCTGTTTTGGGTTGCCAAGATATGTCCATATAACATCACTGCTCTGTGAGCTGCACTGGCTCCCAGTAAGGTTCCAGGTGCAATTCAAGGTGTTAGTTGTTACTTAGAAAGCCTTACATAGCACAGGGCCAGTTTTTTTGCAGAACCATCTATTTCTAATGGCTTCTGCTCACTCCCCTGGATGTGATAGAGTGGTATCCTCCAGGTTCCTTCATTAAGAATGAAGAAGACATCTCTTTCCCTATGGAACTGCACATCCTCCCCCAATTCAGATGGCTCTAACCATGTGGGACTTCCATAAGGCATTACAGACCTGGCTTTTCTTTGAAGCACTGGATCTGTGAGGTCAGGTGAGCCTTGTAAGTTAGCTGTTTGCTGTCAAACTGTAAGAGGGAAGGAATTTATTGGACTTCTGACTCACTGCATATTGATTGTAATTGTGATTGTTTAATTGTTTTGGACTGCTGTTACTTTTCTTTTACGATTGTTAGCCAACCAGAGTCATAGCAGCGAGTTAAGCTGCCAAGAAATTGTTTTAATTAAATAAAAAATTAGTTTTTTTTAGAATGACCAGATTACCATACAGAAAATATACCTAATAGTGGAAGAGTCTTGTTTAAAGCACACATTACCCAGCTGTGTAAAAAATAAGAAGTATCTGTTTTGTAATGAAAGAAAGTACAGAATACTACCACTATCTACTGACATTTTCAGCATTTTTTGGTATCCATTTTATTCCAGAGGGGATACTTCTAATATCTGAAAAATTTCTGCAGGAATGACTGAAGAAAAAAAAGCACTAAATGGAAAGCTCTGTTTTTTATCCTCTTCTTATCTTCCTACCTCTTTTCCAATATGATAGTGGAAGAATTGGCCAAGACTGTTTATTCAAACAAGACAGTTCACACCAACTTCACCTGAAGACTCAGCACATACTGATAGAGCACATGAGAGCAACTATAGCTATATCTGATGTAGACAGACAATGGGGAAGGATTTCCTTCAGTGTTGTTTATAGGCTTCCAGAGATTGTAGCTGCTCACTGTAGAAACTGAATATTGGACCAGGTAGGCCTTTGGGCTGATCCTATAAGGCTTTTATGTTTTCACTTAATGGACTATTCCTTTTGCTGACAAAAAATAACAAATAAAATCTGACTAACAGGTAGCTGTGCTATATAATAGATGATTTCAGAAAAAGTTATACAAAAACACACCTGAGATTGTAAAAGGCATAATATAAAACTACTCAAATACAGATACATGTGAATTGGGTGGCTGATAGCTTTAAATTGATTACCATCAACATCTTGAACAAAAACAGCATACCCGAGTAATAAAACAGCCTTCAAGAATAGGCTGATTGCAACCTCTAGAGTGGCAGCATCACTAATGGCTTTTACTCTGTAATAATTCTTCTTTACATAAATTAAATGGAAAAGCAAGAGATTGAACCTTGATCCCAAAGAGCCCATTTATCAGAAAGCTAGTGTATTTGTAAAGCAAGCTGGTATGATAACTTTTAAAAACATGTTCTTGCAGGTTGAAAACACTGGGTCTCAAATATTTGTACTGTAAACCTCTGTGAACTGTGACATTTCAGAAATTGTTAGCAATTTTGTTTACCAATAACCTTATCACCTTGATTTTTTCAACTTTCATATACCTCATTTTTCTATACTCTCTTCCCTTGATTCAATAGTCAAGATCTTTTCAAAAGATCTCATTATTTCCAAAAAGGTCACTGTTGCCTTTAGCTTCTTTAAAGAAAGGGAATATGAACCACAAAAGTAATTGATTTAATCTCTCCAATATATTGATCACTCTATTTTTCCTGCATTATTTCCTCTCTTCACCAACCTACACTAACAGAACAATCTTTCTTTAATTGCTCATTCTTCCCCTAGTAGCATCATTCCCATTCATTTAGCCATCTATTTTTTTTTTCCATAACTTACTTATCTTGTTTGAATGAAAACATGTTTTAGGAATTCTACTGTTTGAGTGAGCAAACATGGAGTTCATGCTTTTCCAAATTATGTTTTATTTATTCTTGTTTTTAAAAAGGACTTGGCAACAATAGTATCTTAATCTAAAAAATATTTTTATATTATTTCCTCTTCTTGTACTATTTCCTAATTTTTCAGAAGTGCTTTCAATGAATATAACTTATTACTCTCTTAATCCTCATTTTACTCAACTCCAAATAAGTTATAATCAATATTTTTCTCTATTACTATCTTCAATTTTATTTGTTTTAAATAATACATGGCTACCCATCTCAAAAATGACTCTCAGCAGCTTATAAAAAGTTCAAACTGAACCACCACCACCACAACAAAAAGACAGTGATGTATTTTCCTTATTACTATCTTCATGCAATCCCTCCCTATTAATAAGGTAGCACATCTAAGTTCTATTCCAAATTTCTCATTGCAGCTTTTTATATTCCATGGTGCCTATAGAGTCTGTGAAATCTCTGTTTAAGCTCTGTAAAGCTTGTAATGTTTCACTATCTAAAACAGACACTGGACTGCCCAGGTCACAAGATTTCTAAATATATATATTCAGGAGTTCTTAAATCAAATTCTCAATTATTTTTTATGCAGGTACCAATATATATGATTATTCACACAGTGACCACCAACAATAGATACAATTCTTTGTCAATTCGCATTTATAGTGTTATTCATTTATTTAGAACTACAAGAGGAAAAAAAGGAAGAAAGAGGTTACACTAACAAGGAAATGAGTAAACTATATTATATATTTTCATCTCTCATTTTGGAAGTTTTGAGGACAAAGGGCTTAAGCAAAGGCTTTATGGGAAGCAGGGCTTGTTGAAAAAAGAAATTATACATGGTGTAGGTTTCTGGGAGGAAATTCTAGGGATAAGAGAACAAGAAAAGAAAGTTCTATTATATCATTATCTCCTCTTTTCTACACATAATGCTTATTTTAAATAATACAGTCAGAATTCAACCAGAAATCCATTTAGTATACTTTTTTAACTAAACCTCCTTTCCTTTCCTTTCCTTTCCTTTCCTTTCCTTTCCTTTCCTTTCCTTTCCTTTCCTTTCCTTTCCTTTCCTCCCATTCCCCTTCCCCCCTACCCTACCTTACCTTACTTTGCGTTTGGTTCACAACCAATATTTAAAAGAAGACAATATTACAACACATCAAATATAAAACAGTGTTATAAAATAACAATAAAATAAAACTTATGCAGAGAGATCTGAAGCAGTGTACAGTGTAAAAGGGGCACCAGATGATTTCTGTAAGCCATGGCTATTGTTAAAAATTTAGCAACCCTGTTGGTAATAGCTGAAGTTTGATTGCTTAGGAGAAAAACAATAACCTCTTGCTCAGAGGAGCAGTTAAGATTTCTAACAATTGAGGTTATGAGTCCTGCCCTCCATTTATTGTACAGAGGGCACTCAAGCGGTACATGTGAAACAGATTCTGCTTCAATATCAGAACATGTACAAATGCAATTTTCATAGGGGATACTGATTTATCTACCAGTTGTTGCCCATATAAATAATTTGCTGATTTGAACCAAGATGAAGAGTCTACTATGTGAAGTATGGGGAATGCTATAAAAATATCTGGGAATGGAGCAGGGAAGGATGGTTACTGAGTGGTAATGGAGGTGGGAAACTCTGGTTCCATCAGTTTGGAGATTTAGATCCCAGATCCTTCGCTGAAGTCTAACTACGGTGTTATCAGGGGTGAGACCAGCTAATGTTGGAAAAGAAAAGCCACTGTAAACCAGATTGAGATTGATTTTTCTTCTTAGGGAAGATTCAAACATACCTAGTAAATGTATTGTCGAAGGCTTTCACGGCCGGCATACGATGGCTGGTGTGGGTCTTCCGGGGTGTGTGGGCGGGGGCTTGGAG